ACAGGTTGCAACAACAGCAGGGAAAATGCAAATTTAGCGAATTACATCTACCCAGTCAAGCAAACGTAAAGCAAGCCCCCCCCAATTTTCTCCCAAAAGACACTGACAAATTCCAGTCCTGCAAGTCACTGGGCAAGGATGGCATCATGCAGCTCCGCTACGAGCCTTTGAATTATGAAGGCCTTGTCCTCTGTCTCCTCTTGACAGAAGGCACAGGTGTTACATATATCCTCCCAGAGTCCTGCTTCGTAAGATTTATATTGAATCTCACGTCGGCTCCTAGGGATATCAGGGCAGAGCCGAACAAAAAGGCCGTGCCTACACTCCTGTGCTTGCCCTTTGAGCAAAAGATCGACCACAGCTTGGCTGGCGAATCAGGCACATACAATGCCAATCGCCTTGCGCCTTGGTCAACCAATGATCTGAAATGATCGTCCTCATAAAGGAGGCGGACATTTCGATCGTGTACGCCCCAGTGTCCACGGAGGTCCCACTGATTCGCGCCATTCGTAAATGGCCTAGTGTCGAACTCCAGGTCGTACTCACTCCTGCGCCTTGGGCGCCCAGTGGCATGAACCTCCCAAACCTCCATAATAATCGTGACACCCAGAAGAAGGAGGCGCAGACGGCGCGGGGGTGGGCCTTCAGGATCAGCTTCAACATTTATGGTTTAGTTGAAATTATACAGTCTGAGATTTTGGGTTCAAAGTTCAGGGTTCTCAGGGTTGAGCAAAAAAACGCAGGGTTCTTGGGTTCAGATTTTACTTACTCTTAAGAGAGTCGACTTTAAAGTTTAGGATTCAGGGTTTTGAATATTTTGGGTCAAAGGTAGAAGGGGGCAACAGCAGGCGGGGACAAGAAGAAGAAGAAGAAGAACAACAACAACAAGAACCCTAATAACAAGACTAAGAACAACAACAAGAACTATCACTAACAAAGGCTGGCTAGCCAGCCTACGGGTTCAGATGGCCGCCGCAGATCTCGCGCAGAGGAAGCCGAAGCTGGCTCAGCCACAGCAGCAATAGGACGAGCAGCGGGCATGCTCTTTGCTGCAGTTGGCTTGGCCTTAGGCTTGGCAGACGCCGAGGACGATGCTCTTGTTGGCCTAATGCTTGGTCGGGGCGGATCAACCGGAGGTGGTGGCGGTGGTGGCAGAGGTGGTGGAATACCAGGATCATCATGAGCTGGAATCCCAGGCGCATTTGGCTCTGCTGGTGCCAGCACCACCTGTGGATCTTCGCCTGAAGTATCAGTTCAATTAGTAATTAGATAACACTTAAGAAAGCCAAGTAGCACAGAAACATAAACCTGACATAAGATATTGCTAGATCCAGTAAGCCCAGTAGCTTCCACAAATTCTAACCACCATTTGGCGAGCCATCTCAACCATTCCAGGGGGTCCCTTCACGCGAAGAATGCGCGGGCCATTGTTGCGCGATCTTACGCTGACCTCACACCCCGTGGATTCTCTTATAGCATGCCTGTGAGCAGCAAGAAAGGTGGCGGTCTCGTGCTGGCTCAGGTCCTGCTGCAACTCCACGTTGGAATCCATGGCACTCAACAGGACGCAGGCCTTCTACTACTCAACAACCATAATATCACATCTGGTCCTAAGAGTAGATTCACGTACAAACTGCTCTAACATCATTATTCGCAACCGCAACCCTTCTAGCTCGAATTTGAGAGATGGGTTCTGCAGGCAAGGCCCAAATCACTGTACATCACAATGCTTACACACATGCATTCAAAGCCACCATTGCACTTGGCTAGCCAAGCGGCAGCTAGAGTAAGACTTGCAAGTACTCAGCTCTAACATGACACTGACACTGCACTGTCCTAGACAGCTTGATTGAGCCGGCTAGCCGGTCATATGTGTCAAGGTGCAGGTGGAAAGTGCAAACATACGCAGGCACAAATTGACTGGCTAGCCAGTCAGAACACAGAGCAACGAATATTTATACATCACCTCTCAAAGCCAAGCTGCGACACCAAACAGCACTGTATGCCATGCCTTTGCGATGAATAAGTGAAGGAGAATGTCGCAGATACATCCTGGCAGCAGCCAGACACCAACATGCTGGTATACTGCCAGCCTTAAACCTTAAAGCGTGAACAGCCAGACCCTGAATCCCAACCCCCCGAGATACAACCCTAAACCTAAAACCATTAAATCGCCCAAAACCCTACACTCTAGATCTCATGCCCTATGGCCTACCGCCTAAGCCCTCCAACGCACAACTTACTTGCCCTGGCTAGCCTGCAGCAAGAATTAACACGACTGTCTGCATGCAATAAGGGAAAAACAGACTGACTAACCAGCCACACTACGCTTGACATCTCTGCACAGTAACCACTTCAAAGAGCGTTTCATTTCAAAGCATGTCATGCCACTTCCTCGGCAACAGAGGCTTACAAGGTGGTGAGTTGCAAGTACAAATGAAACATGAATGACGCTCGGGTTTGGGGTTAAAGCCAAGTGGCAGCTACACTTAGGATCGAACATGAGACTGACACTGAACTGCACTAGTTAGTTTGACCGAGCATACCGGCTAGCCAGTACCAGGTTAGGGCGAGGGCAGTGGCAGAATCAGACACATGTATCACACACACATACAGCCAGCGCAAGCTTACATGCAGTCTAATTGCTAAAATCTATCTAGGTGATCTGTACCTGGCTAGCCAAGTGAGGGCAGAAGCAAAATAATAACACGCGAAACCTCCTACTTCTATAACAATGACCTGCCTGAAGAAGAAGTTTTCCAACCTGGCACACCGATTACAGGGGAAGGTTGACTGCAGAGAAACTTCTTCGCACGCTTCAATGATTCACAGCCACTCAGCTCTCTGAACATGAAGGCAGACTGTGTCACAGAAAGCACAGCGAGTGAACTCAGACTTGCAAAGGCAGAGCCATCTGAGACCAATAATTTTGCAGCCTGGCAAGCCTGTGGTCCTGAAGGTACAGGCTGAGTCTGTCGGTCCTGGCGAAGAATAAATTATGCGAATCAGGTGGCTAATAGTAAATGATTGGGGAGCTAGCTTAGAGAGGAAGGCTTCATTCGGTTGACGAACTTCACAGATTAAGGAAAACCAAGCATGAAAAAGATCCTGATAACAAGCGATTAGTATGTTATTGGCTTCAGGTTACAACTAATAACTACTGGTCTTGGCTAGCTCAGGGACCAGGTTTCATCGCTTGGAACCCCTGCCCTCACTACCCTGCCATCGGCCTCAGGGGGCCAAGCAGCTGTCATCATCAAATCGGAGTCCTTCAAGGAAGGGGCAGGGCCAGGGCTTTATGACCAACAATGGAATCACCACTGCTGCGTCTAGAGGGTGTCATGTGCATTTCACTTATTCAATGTCAAGCTGGTTCATTTTCAATGCAAAATCGCACGGCTGCAGCACATGAAAACAGAAACAGTCCCAGACATGTTCCAATGCTGGGGCATCAGAATGCTGAGACTCACCCATTGTGAGAGACAGAATCTTTCCTAGCGGAATCTTCGGCAGCTAGAGTACTAACTACCGCAAAATAGATTCCAATAAAGGCTAGCCTGGTTAATAATAAGGCCTGCAAGGCAAACTACTTGTCACAGCTTCACAGCTGTCTGCCCAGGAATCTCCATGGAATGCAAAAGAACTATCTGCGGCTTGATGGGTCTCAGGCCTTTCGTAGCCCATTTGACACTCCACATGACTGAGCAGTGGCCTTTCTGAAAATCCACTGAGGATGTTACAGCGGCCAAGCTCCCAGCATTTTTTAGGTCAATGCCGGACGGGTCAGACCCACTCGTCGGATCATGCGATCCGGTCACTTTCGGAGTGCACTTGTAGTACACCTCGTGTTTGCGCTCAAGTTTGAAGCCACTGCCACCCTCAGACGTTTTCTTCGTGAAGTAGGTCACGTCCGTTTGGGCCCGGCTCGTCTGGGCTGTTGCAACTGCCTCACCTACAGTAAGCAACCTGCCGCTGAAGAGCACATAGGAATCCGAGGAGTCAAGGACAAACAGGACAATGTTCTCATCAGTAGGCTTCATGCCCGGTTTTCCATCAGTGCTGCGAGGAATGTGCTTGAAGGTGCCAGGCCCGAAGCCTGCAATGACACTGCCAGCCGGAACAGTCAACACAGAGTCTCCTGTGTTCAAAATGTGCCAGCTGCCATCAAGGCCGACGCGAATCTGGATCTTGCCGACCAGTTCTCTCTTCAACCCACTCACCCGGCACCTGCGCAAGCTTGGAATCCGAGAGCTCCGACACATTGATCTTCTCCATGGGCGGCGGCGGTGGCTTCGGCCTAGTGTTCTGCTGCACCGGAACTTCTGCAGCGCCTGCTGCTGCTGCGCCGGAGGACTCAGGCTGAGGCTCGCCGAACTCGTCAACAATCTCCTTGACCTTCTTCTGAAACTCAGGGCCAAATTGCGCATGTGTCCCCCAGAGACTCACTTGACTCGGTGGCACCACAAGAGCGCCGCCTTGCACTGTGCACAGATTCAACTGTGGCAAAGGTGGGGGCGAGAGCAAAAGATCCGAAGGCGGTTCCTGGGGCTTGGCCTGGTAGCCTGCGCACGTTACCTCGCCGCTGGAGAGCTTCATGGACACCTGCTAGATTTCCACTTGCAAGTTTTCGTTTAAGATTGACAGTGATGATTGCTTAGAACAAAAGTTCCTGGCTAGCCAGCTAACTGCTTACTCCTTTGCAATGGCCTGCAAATTCTAAGCATAAATTAACAGACAGACTAGTACTAGTACTATTATGCCATGCCTCTTCAAGAGTCACATGCCGCAGCCACTCAGCCTCAGTCGCGTTGGAGTTTGCGCCGACAAAAAGTAGAGGGAAGCGGACAGCACTTTGCCGGCGCAACCAAGCATAAAAGAAATCGCCAACGCCCACGGAGAGATCCAAGATGACGATTGCCGACATCTCGTCAGGGACCTGATTATTCGATTCCAGGAGTGACTCCAGCATTTTCGATGCTGCATCAATCCCAATCTGTTCGAAACGTTTGCCACCACGCACATGGGATGTTTCATCTGTGCTGCTGGGCAAGGCGGATTCTGTCAGATCCTCCGGTTGCTTCAACTTCTGGTTTGGGATCTGTTCTGCCTCTTCTGTCCGGAGCATGCTTGCCAAAGGCGTCTGGCTCCAGAAGAGTGCAGATGGCGACAGGGTCTTTCGTGCTCGCTTGGTGTTGGGCTGAGTATCCTGAGCATCGCTGTCGTGCTCATCCACGCTCACATGGACCTGGAGGGAGCACGACCTCACAAGGCGAAGTGGGTAAACTAGCGGACGAGTATCGCGAGAATCTGCACGAGCCTTGAACAGCGGGGAGGCCTGCGTATCAACGTCAACTCCCCGGCCACTCAAAGAGGTCAGGAGGACATGCTCAAGCACATGCTTCTGATGAGCTTTATAATGGAACACGGGGCTCATGACAACACCAAAGTTCCTCTTGGACTGGCTAAGGATCTGCGTGAAGGCAAGCGCCTGCTGCTCCTGGGTCTTGTTGGTCAGGGCAGATGGGGCCGACCAATTGAGCACTGCCAAAATTGCCTCGGAAAAGACTTAAATAAGGATTGAACTGAACCTTAAAGACAGAACTAAAATGTGATCATTCAAGCACCCTTTACTCAGCATTGCCGCAAGGGGCCGTTTCTTCCTTGGCCAAACCAGCAGACTTCAGCAGGTTGTCCATCTCAACTTGCACGTTCTGCAGCAAGCTCCCCTCCTCACCCTCCTTGTAATCGAGGATGCACGATTTCTTGGCTAGCCAAGAAGTAACCCACTGCTGATTTTCTTCGTGCCGTTTTTTTCGCCACTCCATCTTCACATGGCGCACATTTGTCTGGACGTCCTCAATCTTCTTCTTGTAGATGCGGAAAGCATTCATGTCGTAGGCAAGCTGGGATAGGACGAGCTGGAACTTGTCTTGGTCCAGCTGTGTGATCCTTAGTTCCACAGTGCCAGATGAATCCGTCACAGGCTTCTGGCACTGCAGGGATTCAGCAACATGCCGGAAGAAGGGAATGTCCGTTACTGTCAGGTTGGCTCTCGTCTCACTTTGGACCTCATAGAGCTCCAGCTCCAAGGCATGGTTGCGCGACACCCACTCAGGATTTCTTTCTGCGCATCAGCTTTCTGTGCTGGGAAGTTTTGGCAGAGCTCTTTTGCAAGGTTCGTAACCAAGGCTGCGCGCTCAGCCTGCTGCTCCACGGCGCTTTTCTCCATCTTCTTGCCTGGTGCCTTTTCATGGTCTGCAAAGATGCGCCTGAAGAGCAACATGCAGGAGTCTTCTGACATGGCCACCAGGCGCTTCCATGACTTGTGTGGCGATTTGAAGAGATGCGCGGGGAGGATCTTTTTGCTTGACAGCACGTCGTCTGACAGGCAGCACCCCTCCCAGCCCCATTGAGAAACATGAGCTTGGATGTAATCCAAGAGCTCCTGGCTGAAGAAATTCATCAAGTTGCCGACCGCCACAGACTTGCCCCCGATGAGCTGAAAGCTGTTGGCCACCGTCTGATTGAACCGCAATGAGACTCGTGCAATCCTGGTACCCCTTATTGCGAAGCTTGCTCAAGGTCCCTGCCCGGGGGTCGCCGCAGTGACCCCCTGATGGACAGGCGAAAGTTATGAAAGACCTCGTCCTGGAGCGTCAGGTGCTTGACACAATGCACGTGGGTCATCTGGACGGACTCTTTCAAAGTCTCGAACGTCATGAGAAGAAGGTTCCCGGTCCCCTGACGCCACCACTGGCACAACAGCGACAACAAAGCGCTGGCCCTGAGCATGCCCTTGCTGAACGCCAAGGAAAAAGGCATCAAGACTGGCCCAATGCCTGTGCTCAAAGTGGACCATGGGCAAGACTTTGATTTTGGGCACTCTGACTCCTCGAGCACCTTCACCTGCAANNCAAGCTTCCCAGCTGCGTGGCTGCTAGGATCTGGTTTCATGGAGCAGGCTGCAGTGAAGCCCAACATGGCCACATGCACCTTCTGAGGCAGCTGAGAGCCTAAGCTATCCGAGCTGACTGGCCGCAAGTCCGAGACCATGGAGCAGTACTCTTGGTCAGCTTTCAGAGGGAAAGCCTCCCACAGCCAAGAAGCAAAGTCTTGAATCATCTCTGGGCTGTTCAAAATGGTGCGCAGGTACTGCGAAGGCCCTCCATGTTTCTCAAGGACTTCAGTCTTGTAGCACTCGTAAGCAGACTCTACAGACTCGCCCTGCGCAAGCTGCTGCGCTGTCGGCTGCGGAATCTCCCATGGAAGAGTCGTGCTAACCGAAGACAATGCAGTAGCAGAGTCTGTTGCAGACTCTCCAGCTATCGAGGCTGGTTTGGATTCTGATGCCATGGCCAAGTAGTGAGTGGCTAGCCACTATCACAGCTAAAGACTTTAGCTACCTCGAGGCAGGCAGGAAAACTACTGAGCCTGAAGGCTGCTGCTGCTCTTGAGTTCTGGCTCCCCGGCAAATTTTGGTCCGATCTCCGTGTCTGATTTTCTGATACGGAGATGGGACCAAAAAAAATTTTTCGGTCCGATATCCTGGGCCTGACGAGACTTCGGTCCGATCTCCACTCCCGAAATTTAACATAGACGATCCGACCAAAGTCCCGCACACCCTGGGAGATGGGGCCAAAAAAATTTTTTCGGTCCGATCTCCGCGGCCGATTTTTGAATGGGAGATGGGACCCAAATTTTCGCGTGAGAGACTGCCAGCCTTCCTGTGGTGCTCAGAATCAGGATTCCTCTGCCAGAAACTTTTCCAGTCCAAGTTGCAAAACTCTCTGTCAGTCTACAAGGCACTCGCAAATACTCTTTTGCTTTCACCCCGAAGCAAGCTGCAGTTAGGCCGTCACTGGCAGAGACTGCTTGCCTTTGCCTGGGCCTTATCAAGAGTCATAATGAATCCCGTCTGAGATCTAGTGCACTGCAGGAATGATAATACATATGGACCTGCAAAGCTGATTACATAAGCTTGTTTTTAATACGGGGTTCCTGCCTACTGCACTAGCCAGACGCTACGATTCTTGTTTAATCGGAGGGCAGCTCTATGTCTGACTCATCATCATTGTGAGCAGGCATGATGGCTGCAACAGGCTGGCCAATGTGTGCAGTAACTGCTCGAGCCATGGCTTCGCAAAACTGAGCAGGGTAAATCTGAGCTGCTCGAGCCCGAGACATGGGGCCCTCCTTCCCTTGGCACCACACATGGACCCTTGGGATGTGACTGCATGTTTCGGCTGTACATCTGGAGTTAAATCCTTGCGCAGGCAAGCCAGGCAGGTTGCTCATGAATTTTGTTCGCTTCCTGATTGGGTCCCCTTGCACAGCGCTCCTAAGTCCTAGAAGACATTGATCGAAAATGTAGAGGTTGATCGCCATGTTGCTCTGCAACAAGCGGCGGGTAGCCGGCAAACTCCATGATGATGCTTGGCTGGGGTGTTCTAGCACTGCTCGCCGCCCAGCATGAACTTGAATTTCAAACAGGTACAGCGCAAACATCCAGAGCTTCAGGCCATTGTTGTAGGCCACTTGCCATGCCGCCCTATCCTTGCGGCGTCCTTCATTTGTCCGCTGTAACTGGGAGAAGACCGTACAGGGGGGCGAGAGCATGAGGACAGCCGGCAGCAGCGCATGGATGAGCTCCAAACATGAGCGTTGCCCTGAAGCAGTCAACAAATCATAGCCGGTCAGGATGTCGATGGAAGGGCCTGTTGAGCCACCTCGCCTTTCCACATGGGTGCAATGCGGGGCAGCGAGAACACTTCCATGAAGTCTACAGGCACATTTCCACGATCATGGCGAGGGCGAACATCAGCTGGAAGGGCTGCCACCTGGATCTCCTGCTGGTCCTCCCCATCAGATGGCAAGTCCACAGGAGACTCGTTGCTTGGCAAGCTCACTGCATCATCAGACATCGCCACGCTTCGTGCTCAAGAAGTTACAGCTAGCAGGGCAGGAGTCACGTCTGAGTCAGTCACTGGCCACAATTAAGCTCACCTGCGCCAGCCAAAGGCAAGCAATGAATGAAACACTGACAGTGAGCTGCAGGCAGGCCAATGGCATGGCAAGATTACTTACACATTGCTTTGAACATGATTGGAGACAAACAGTAAGCAGAAGCAATTGTTGGAATCCGCTTTCGCCGTGAACTGAAAGGCCAGCCTTTCCAAGAGTCTGATTGAGTCGATGGTCGGGTTGCCTCCGCAATGCCCAAAAAGCCTTTCTGCAGGAGGCAGGTCAATGCCTTCAAATCAAAATTGGCCACCCTCAAAATTGAGCCTGACAAACTGCTGGTCACATGCCAGGGCTCTGGGCGCCAGGGCTTCTGATGTTCCTTGTAAAGCCATTTTTCTTGCTTGGATTCCACAGTCATTAAGTTCAGGGCCAATACAGTCTGTGCACCCTACTGCTTACAAGGCATGACGAACCACAGAGCCATCAGCGTCGAAAGAATATCCACGCACGCCTTCGCGAGCAAACTTCTGACACCTGCCTGGACATCCAGGCTTCCCATATCTACACTTGGAGCACCCGAAGTGTAAAAAGTCACCTGACACCGGCTTAGCCGCAGTCTTGGCAGCAGCAGCAGCAGCAGCAGGCTTTGCCGCAGGCTTTGCCTTGGACTTGGCGTTGCCTGCTTTCGCTTTAGCCTTTGTCTTGGCTTTTGCTTTCGTGGCAGCAGCAGCTGGCCGGCGCAAAACCTCCCGGGGCTCTGGCTCATTCTCAGCATCACTCCCGGCAGGAAGACTCACAGCATCCGCCAAGGCAGGAGCTACTTCGCCAGCCAGGCTAGCCTGAGCTGGCTCGTCTACCTCAGCTGGCTCTTCTACCGCAGCTGGCTCTTCTACATCAGTCGGCTGTTCGTCAGGACCACGGGCTGCACCCATAGCTGCAGCTGCAGCAGCCGCTCGACGAGCTTTCTTGCCGCCTCGAGATTCCTGTGCTCTTTGGGGGGGTTCATCGGCAACTCGCCGCCGTGAAGGACGGCTTTTCAGCACTGCAACTTTGATTTCAATGGCTCCTTCAGGGGCGAAATCTTTCCATGTCTCCTCTTCTGCCTGCAAAGCAGCCTGACCAACGATTTTCTCGGGCCCAAAGATGACAAAGTCAATGTGAGGAAGGTCGCCTTGCTTGCCAGATGCATTTCGCTCCATCCACTTGAGGAGGTAGGCATAAGCCTCATGCATAGACCATGGTGCTTCCAGGATCTCGCTGGCAGTCTTCTGGTACTTCTTGACGGACTCTTCCGTGAGGACTGTCCTCGGGGCCTCCAGGGTTACAAGGCTCATGAAGTCAAGGGGGAACTCACTCAAAAGCTCCGTGGGCGGTTGCGACAGGCTCTTACTACACAGCCAGTGCTTTGCGAGCAAAATTGCATCGCTTTCTTGCCCATCAGCCCCTCCCTGCATGATCCACTCAGGCCCGGCTTCTTGAAGATTCTCTCGGCGAACTACTCGCATCACACGGGCTGCGTCTGCAGTGCTGTGGAGCCTTGAATGCCGCTAAAATGGACATTTAGCGGGGCCACAAACTCCTTCCAGTCATGCG